TATAAAAATATATATTTACTTCTAGTTATTTTATTGTTTTCCCTAAAGACATGAACAAGGAATAATGAAAGCACAAGTATGGAATCAGGATGTTTAATATTGATTCAGTTTTATTAGCTAATCCATTATCTACGTTCAACTTTTGCGAATCATCCTAATATTACAGCCATTTCTCTCTTCAATTCAGGATTTTACTTAAGTCTCTTTTGTTTCCTTTTGTTATCTTAGCCCCTCAGGGTTCTTTATTTTTCATGCCCTTAATGTTTCATTTTGTAGATGGCTTCTAAACTTGGGTTGTCTGATTTTTTTTTTTTTTATGATCGTGATTTTTTTTTTGCAAAAATATTATAAAGATGATATTGTGGTCTCAGAGCATCATATCAAGGGGACCATGATACCAATTTATACCATTACTGAAGGTGTTAACTTAAGTCACTTTGTTAAGGTGAGTCTGCCATAACGATTTTTCCCTTTGTAATTAATTACTTTCACATAGACATGTTGGAAATATATGAACATTTACATGTTGCATTTGTCACTTATCAATATATGCTGAACTCACTTCCTATTAACTCATAGAGCTATCCTTTATTCTTTAATACAAATGCATAGCATTCCACTGTATGTATGCATCAGAATTTATTTGATCAATCTTTTATATGTAGATATTTAGGTCACTTCCAATATTTTGCATTTATAAATGAGGCTGCTATGGATAACCTAATACAAATGTCTTTTCTTAATGTTGGAGGTATATAGTCAGGGTATGTTTCTAGATTTGAGATTGCTGAGTTGTAAGAAAAATGTACATACAATTTGTTAGAGATTGCCAAGTTCCCCCAATGTAAGAGTTGTATCATTTACATTCCCACCAGCAATGAATGAGAGTGCCTTACAAGCATTGCCAACAGAATGTATTGCCAAGCTTTTAAACTTTTTGCCAATGTGATAGAAGAGAAACAGTATCTCAGTGTACTTTTGTTTGCATTTTTCTTATTATGAGTAAAATTGAAAGAGTTTCATATGATTATGGACCATTGTATACCTTTTGAATGAATTTTTGGCTTGTGCCTTTAACTCATTGTTCTCTTAAGGCTTAGTTATTTTCCCCTTTAAGTTTTGAAATATATTAAATATAATAGCTTTTTATCTGCGATACACTTTGCAAACATTTCAAAATGGTCTCAATAACCTCCATCTCTATGTATTCACTCCTTTGTATATAGACCTCTTTACATTGAATAGTCCTGGTCTGTGTACCCAATAGAATATTTGGTACAAGTCTTGGACATATCTATAGTGTTTTTGTATAAAGCAAAACTGGCTTCAGATTCATGGTGTGTTTGTGTGCTTATTTTATATTCATGAATTCCTTATATTTATGACACTTCGCATTCCTAGAATAAACCCTGCTTGGGTCATTATGTATTATTTTCCACAGTATGGTGATTAATTCTATTTGCTAGTAAATATTTACAATTTTTGCACTAGTATTTATAAGTAAGCTATGTTAGTCTGTAATTTTATTTACATTTTTTTGACAATCAAATTTAGGTCTCAATATTATACTTGCTTCATAAAATGATTTTTGAGTTTTCCTTCATTTTCTAGGTTTTGAAACAATTTTTGTAACATTGGGGGACTATCTGGTTATGGATAGTTTGGTCAAATTTCCTTGTGAAACCTCTTACTGGTGCTTTTTTTGTGCGGTATAGCGTTGCTGCATTTTTTTTTCTATAAAAATTGGTTTAAGCTTTCTAAACTCTACTTGAATCAATTTTGGTAAACTGAATTTTTTAAAATAAATGAATAATTTGGGGCTGGGCGTGGTGGCTCACACCTATAATCCCAGCACTTTGGGAGGCTGAGGCAGGCGGATAGCTTAGAATAGAAGTTCGAGATCAGCTTGGCCAACATGGGGAAACGTCTGTCTACTAAAAATACAAAAATTAGCTGGGCATGGTAGTGCCATGCCTGTAGTCCCAACTACTCAAGAGGCTGAGACAGGAGAATTGCTTGAACCTGGGAGCCAGAGGCTACAGTGAGCTGAGATTGTGCCACTGTACTCCAGCCTGGGTGACAGAGTGAGATTCCATCTCAAAAGAAAATTATTAATCTGATACTGGTTTCTACTAAAACTACAAAAATTAGCCAGGTGTGGTGGTGCATGCCTATAATCCCAGCTACTCTGAAGACTGAAGCAGGAGAATTACTGTAAACTGGGAGGTGGAGGTTACAGTGAGCTGAGATCATGCCACTGCACTCCAGCCTGGGAGACAGAGGGAGACTCTGTCTCAAAAAAAAAAAAGAAAAAAAATCAAATTATTTTCAGTTTTTAAATTTTGAAATTTCATATGACTTATTGTATTAAAATCTGAGACTGCTGTTGGTAATATTTCTTCTCCCTGGGGCTTACCAACATTTTTTTAACCCAATATTTGATCAATTTTGTAAATGCTCCATGAAGGCTTAAGAGGAAAATGTATTTTCTGTTATCAGGTTTTAACATTTGATACATTTTTATAAGATCTGTCTTATTGAGACTGTTGTTTAGTAATTATTAATTTTTTTTCTATTTGACCTGGAATAGGATACTAAGGTCTATTATTAGCGTGCTTCTGTATATTTCTACTTGCTTTTCCTTATAGTTTCTGCTTTATGCAGATGGCTGCTATGTTATTTAGTGCATAGATATTCTTAAATGTATATCTATTTTGAATTACAGATTTTTTTTTTTTTTTTTTTTTTTTTTTTTTTTAGTTTTAAGAAGCAGGGAGTTTAATAGGCAAAAAGGAAGGAGAGGCAGAAGGAACAGGCTTCCCCGTTCAGAGACAGAGGAAGGTTACACTCCAAAGTTAAAAGAGGAGGTGCCCTTGAATTACAGATATATATATATATATATAATTACACTTTAGGTTCTGGGGTACATGTAAAGAACATGCAGGATTGTTGCGTAGGTACATACCTGACAATGTGGTTTGCTGCCACATCCCCCCATCCCCCATATCTGGTATTTCTCCCCATGTTATCCCTCACCAACCTCCCCACCCCCTGCTGTCCCTTCCCTATTGCCCCCCAACAGACCTCAATGTGTGATGCTCCCCTCCCTGTGTCCATGTGTTCTTATTGTTCAACACTCGCCTGTGAGTGAGAGAATATGTAGTGTTTGATTTTCTGCTCTTGTGTCACTTTGCTGAGAATGATGGTTTCCAGATTCATCCATGTCCCTACAAAGGACACAAACTCATTGTTTTTTATGGCTGCATAGTATTCCATGGTGTGTATGTGCCACATTTTGCTTGTCTAGTCTATCATTGATGGGCATTTGGGTTGGTTTCAGGTCTTTGCTATTGTAAACAGTGCTGCAATGAACGTATGTACGTGTGCATGTGTCTTTATAATAGAACAATTTATAATCCTTGGATATATACCCAGTAATGGGATTGCTGGGTCAAATGGAATTTCTATTTTTAGATTGTTGAGGAATTACCACACTATCTTCCACAATGGTTGAACTACTTTACACTCCCACCAACAGTGTAAAAGTGTTCCTATTTCTTTACATCCTCTCCAGCATCTGTTGTCTCCAGATTTTTTAATGATCGCAATTCTAATTGGCATGAGATGGTATCTCAATGTGGTTTTGATTTGCATTTCTCTAATGTCCAGTGATAATGAGCATTTTTTCATGTGTTTGTTGTCCTCATATATGTCTTCTTTTGAAAAGTGTCTGTTCATGTCCTTTGCCCACTTTTTGATGAGGTTGTTTGCTTTTTTTCTTATTAATGTGTTTTAGTTCTTTGAGGGGTCTGGATATTAGTCCTTTGTCAGATGAATAGACTGCAAAAATGTTTTTCTATTCTGTTGGTTGCTGGTTCACTCTAATGATTGTTTCTTTTGCTATACAGAAGCTCTAGAGTTTAGTTAGACACCATTTATCTATTTTGGCTTTTGTTGCCAATGCTTTTGGTGTTTTAGTCATGAAGTCCTTGCCTATGCCTATGTCCTGAATGGTTTTGCCTAGGTTTTCTTCTAGGGTTTTTATGGTGTTAGGTTTTATGTTTAAGTCTTTAATCCATCTGGAGTTAATTTTAGTGTAAGGTGTCAGGAAGGGGTTCAGTTTCCCTGTTAACATTTTAATCTTATTTTTTGTCTCATTTTTCTACTTTTCTTCATTTCCTCTTATTACATGTTTATTTGCATATAATTTTACTTGGGTAATTTGTAATTTAATTTTTCATTTTTCTGAGATGATTTCTTTGTTTTTCAATCAACTCTTAATTTCTTTCTATTTTATGTTTATTTCTGTTCCTTAGATTTTGATTATCTGATTTACTGTGGTTTTCATATCCCTGCATGCTTGCTTGAATTGAAGTTCCTGATTTTAATCTGGAGTGTTGCACTATAGTTTCTTTTGCTTTGTAGCTGTTTTGTGGTGTGGAGGGGTAGGAATTGCATCATTTGAACATTTCAATTTTAAGTTTCCATTTTATCTTTCCAGTAGGTTTGTATAGATATAGATTCTTTTTCAGTCTTTTTTTTGTGGATCAGGTTGGCGATCCAGGGAGATTATAAGCATTTAATTCAAGAGATCCCTCTTCTGTCTGTGTAATGAAGTGGAGTTTCTTCAGTGGCTATCGATCTGTCATTAAGTATGAATATATGTATGCATGCACATATGTATGTATTCCCTCTCTATCTTTCTCTCAAAATGGGAAAGTTGCCATTTATCTCCCAATTTTTTTACTCCCTTTTGTCTTGTAGGATTCTGTTTCTTTTACATGCTTCTCTTCACCACCAAGACTCTGAAGTGTTTTTCTTTATACTGTCTTTTCTCCTAAATTGTTGTTCCCCTCTGAGACTGCCACCTTGAGTCCTGCACATCTTAAAGCCTGCAGCCTTCTTGTTAAATTTTTTCAGGATTAGTGTAGGCCTTCTCTTTTTCAGGGTGATTTTAATTTAAGCTTAGGCATAATATTTCCTTTTTTCTTTTCCCACAGTTTTCCTGGACTTTCCACATTCTCCGCAAATACTTGCAGTGGGAGCCAGTGTTCTCTATCTTCCAGTTATCCTGAAGGAATGGCTTTCCTGTGGTTTTATTTGTTCTTCTTGTTAATTTTCAAAGTTTGGAAATGTTGTAGAGTGATTAAGATTTAGATGGCCATCATTATCTTCAAGATACTCAGAAAGCAGAACTCGTTAAATTTGATGCAATCAAATCAATCACCTTCTTTTTCCCATATAGTGTATGCTTTTATTTCATTTCATTTATTTATAAAGTCTAAGACATTTTCTTCAGTTAACTTTATAATTCTACCTGTAGCTTCACATCTTACACTTACCAAGAGTGGCCCTTTTTATATAATATTATGGAGAAACCCAGCTCTATTTCATACATGTAATAAATATTTTTTACAATACCTTTTCTTAATCAAATCTTTTCTTAATTATTTACATTTTGTCATATGTCAAGTATTTAAACACACTAGTGTGTTTCTAGGCTATTTATTCTGTTCCGTTCTATTTGTTAATTTTTATGGCTTAATAAAAATATGTTAATATCTGAAAGCTTGCTTTTTAGTTTTTTGTTTTATGGTTTACTTAGCTAAGCATGGGTCTTCATTCTTTCATGTAAATTTTAGAGCAAATATGATAAATTTCTCAAAGGCATTCGAGTTGATATTTGACTGGAAATTTATACATTAGTGATGGGAAAATTTACATCTTTAAAAAATTATGGAAGCTTTTTCCATTTATTCTAATCATCTTTTACATTCTTTATTAGATTTTAGAATTGTTTTCTGGAGAGGTATTGAGTTTTGTCGCTTAGGTTAATTCCTAGATATTTCATGGTTTTGTTGCTTATTTTATTTTTTATTGTGTTTTCAAATTGGTTATTGCTTGTGTTGAGGAATGCTATTGATTTTTGTAGGTTAATCATCTATCAGCAACATTGCTAAGCTCTTATTTTTTCTAATAGCTTGTCTCTAGGTTCTATTGTTTTTCCTAAGTAGATGATCATATATAATCTACAGATAATGCTTCTACTTTGTCACTGTTGCATTTTGAGCATTTTATTTTGCATTCTTGGGTGAAATAAAAATAAGAAAATATAGCAGTGTCATATTTGTTCTTTGCTTTCCATGCACTTCAATTATCCTTTCTTTCACTGTCCAGGGTAATTACTTAAGAGTTGACAATAGCTATATATATTTTTAATGTAGTAAAATGTCAAAACCCATTATGAACAGAAAAGTCATTCTTTGTACTGTGGAGAAGAAAATACTCAGCCCCTGAAGGACAAATGTACTAAGGAGGAGAAACTCTATCCTGCAATCCACTCATTTATATTACATCTGTTGATAGTATTGATCTTAGTACTTTGGTAAGCTGACTAACAAAAATGAAATATTAGGGCCCATTTTACTTACTTGATTGAATTTTAAAAATTTGATTATTTTACTTACTTGACTTGAATGTTTAACATTTTATTATAATTATTTTTATTATCTAATTTATTATATTAAATAATCCAAGAAATAATATTGTAATTGTAAATTATTCAAGTCATATGATTCAGATAACACAGAACTAGGCAGAAAGAATCTCTCTTTATTGTCTTCATATTTCCACCTCGTCTTTCTCCTACCACTATCAAATTTTTCTGTGTCTCCTTTTATCCCCTTTCTTTACTTAAATACATATGTATATGTAGTGTAAGACTTTTTTCTTCAGTTACTTTAAAAACATATCATTTATTGAAATATAACTCACATACCATAAAATTCATCATTTTAAAGTGTACAGCTGAGTGGGTTTTAGTATATCCACACAGTTGAGCAACCAACCATAACTACTGTCTAATTTTCAGACATCTTTATCACCCTCAAAGAAAACTCATTCCTGTGAACAGTCACTCTCCATTTACCCCTCTCCCCAGCCTCTGGCAACCATTAATCAACTTTCTGTCACTAGGGATTTGTGGGCCAGACATTTAACAGAAATAGAATAAAATAATACATGGCCTTCTTTAACATAGCTATGCATGATTTATTAAAATAAGCATTAATTGGATCATAATAAGTATATTTTTTCTGATTCTCTTTTCCCTTAATATTTTTTCCATATCTTCTTATATAGTTTCACATAATAATAATAATAATTATTATTTTTTGAGATGGACTTTCACTCTTGTTTCCCAGGCTGAAGTGCAATGGTGCCATCTTGGCTCACCACAACCTCTGCCTCTCGCAAGTGATTCTCCTGCCTCAGCCTCCCGAGTAGCTGGGATTACAGGTGTGAACCACCATGCCTGGCTAATTTTTGTATTTTTAGTAGAGATGGGGTTTCTCCATGTTGGTCAGGCTGGTCTCGATCTCCTGACCTCATGATCCTCCTGACCTCAGGTGACCTGCCTGTCTTGGCCTTCCAATGTCCTGGGAATACAGGCATGAGTCACCGTGCCTGGCCTTACATAAGTATTTTTAATAGCAATATAGTATACACAGACTAGATGCATCATATTTTATCCACGTATTCTATTATCGACAGGTATATGAGTAATGTGTCAGTCAATATCAACAATCAACTTTGTTGTTCATACATATGGTGTGCACGTGCAAGTGCCTTGTCTGAAAAAGAAAATAGAACAAAATGGAAATAATAATAGGACTTACTATAAAAAGTTATTGTGCAGATAGACAAGACAATACCGGTGCTGAGAACGATGCTGGGCACATAGCAAACTCTCAATAAATGCTAGCTGTTATTAATATTACAAAAATATTCAGATCTGCAGTAGCATAGAAGATGTTTATAATAGCAAGTGTAAAAATCAAGCCAGTATCAAGACATGGGAGCTCACCAGGATTTCTTCTCAGTGGAAGATTCCTGGAAGTTTTCTCTTCCTTTATGACAAACTGTTTTTCTTTGTCTTCTTGGTTATTCATTGATCTATCCATTCAGGAGACGTTTGTTGAGAGTCCACTGTGTGCTGGGCACTGTTCTAGTCACTACATATAGAATGACGAAAAAGACAGGAAAGGTTTTGGATTTTACATTCTAACAGAAGACTTAGACCAGGGGTGTCCAGTCTTTTGGCTTCCCTGGGCCACATTGGAAGAAGAATTGTCTTAGGCCACACATAAAATACACCAATACTACCGATAGCTGATGAGCTAAAAAAAAAAAATCGCCAGAAGAACTCACAGTGTTTTAAGAAAGCTTATAAATTTGTGTTGGGTCACATTCAGATCCATCCTGGGCCACATGTGGCTAGAGGGTCGTGAGTTGGACAAGCTTGATTAGACCTAAACAAATAAACAAGAAAGTAGACAATGATACATACCACGCATATAATTAAAATACAATAATGTGATGATATTTTACTTGGTGACTACTCTAGATTGATGGTCAAGAAAGCCCTCTCTGCAGAAGTAACAGTGTATCTACTGACAAAAAGCCTAAATGACAAAAAGAAGCCATCCATGGGACATTCATAGGGAGAAACATTTCAGGAGAGTGACTAACACAAGCAAAGGCATTCAGGTAGAAGCTGGTGTGGTCAGTGTGAAGTACAGAAACCAGTGTGTATGGGCAGTGGTGAGTGAAGTGGGGGCAGAATAAGGTCAGAGAAGAAGACAGGATCCAATCATTTGGGTGGTTATAAGCTAGGGTGGGAAGTTTGGATTTTATTCTAAGTGGGATGGAAGTATCAGATGATTTTTAAGTAGGAGAGTAGCTTGATTGGAATTAAGTTTCAAGAAGTTCACTGGCTATTCTGCAGAAAATGGATTTTAGTAAGATTAGAATCAGGGAGATCAGTTAGAAAGTACAGCAATGGTCTAGGCAATAGATGATGACAGCTCAGATTAGGGTAGTAGAACTAAAGAGGAGAATGGCTGTTGGGATTCATTTGAAGACAAGTTAACTAGATTTGCTATTGCATTGATTGCGGGGATAAAGAAATAAAGGGACCGAAGATAACCTCTAGTTTTGGCTTGAGTAATTGGGTGAGTGGAGACGCTATTTATTCTGAAGATGACTGAAGAATTTCTGGGGAATAGAAAAGTTCTGTTTTGATAATGAAAAAGCAAACATTTCTATCAGAAATACAAACAGAAATGACAAAGAGTTGAGTGCATGAGTGTGGATTTCCAGGAGAGATACTAAAGTCTTCAATACAGATGTGGTATTTAAAGCCATGGCACTGGGAGGGCTTGCTTAGATGGAGAATGTAGATAAAACAGAGAAAGAGGCCCAGGTTTAAGTTATCTACATACTCCTAGATGGAGTATGTACATAAAATAAAGAAAGAGGTCCAGGATCAACTGCTGAGCTGTTAGGTATAAAAAAATGGAGTCTGAAAAAAAGACTGAGGGGGCTGGGCGCGGTGGCTCAAGCCTGTAATCCCAGCACTTTGGGAGGCTGAGGCGGGTGGATCACGAGGTCAAGAAATCGAGACCATTCTGGTCAACATGGTGAAACCCCGTCTCTACTAAAAATACAAAAATTAGCTGGGCGTGGTAGCGTGCGCCTGTAGTCCCAGCTACTCAGGAGGCTGAGGCAGGAGAATTGCCTGAACCCAGAAGGCGGAGGTTGCGGTGAGCTGAGATCGCGCCATTACACTCCAGCCTGGGTAACTCTGTCTCAAAAAAAAAAAAAAAAAAAAAAAGACTGAGGGAAGAGAATGAAGTAGGGAGAAAAGCAGGAGAGAGTGATGGTACAGAAGCAAAAAGAAGAAAATACTTCAAGAATGCAGGTGAGTTAATTGTTAAGTGCTTATTGAAAGGCTTGGTAAAATGAAAGGAGAGAAAGGGAGTTTGGATTTGGCAACAAGGAGACTTGAGAACCTAGGACACAGATTTTAGAACCAGACAAAACTGGATTTGAATTTAGATTTCGAAGATCTGTTGTAAAGGTTAAATGAGGTAATATATGTGAAATTACTTAGCACTTAATAAGAACTCAGTAAATATTTCCTGGAAAGGCAGGATTCTTGAAATATCATAGGAAAGAGGTCCTAGCTTCCTGGTGTTTTGTTTTTGAAGTCCCGGGTTAAAAAATTATTTAATTATTATTTTCAAAGCAGGGAATAGAGTTTATTGACCTGGATGGATGAGACTTCAGGGAAGTTACTTCTGCCCAAGAAGGGTATGAAAATGTTTATTCCCATGTAGTCCCACGGGGAGCTCTTCCTAACTCTTGTTTGGTTCCTTGGGCATTTGTGCTTGTTAAATGGTCATGAAGTTTCATGCCAATGTGTCACACTTATTTAATTCTAACATGAACAGAGTGGATTGAGGCTAAAAGTGATTGGTGTTGTGCCTAAAACATTGACCAGACACAGCAGAGGAGACTATTTCATTACCATATTCCTGCTCTTTTCCTGAGGACATCTTGCTGGGAGTTGGAGAGGGGACGAGAGGGTAAAAATAAAGGTTTATGGTTTACAGGTGCAATCATTAGGAGCTCAGTTCCATTCTTGTCCCAAAACGTTGGCTCTAGAGTTACCCAGTTCATAGTATGCTATAGACTTTTTGGTCTACGTGAAAATGTGCTTATTTCACATGTGTATTTGAAGAACATTTTCACTGAATATAGAATTCTGAGTGACACGTTTTTCTCTCCCTTTTTCAGCACTTTAAAAATGTAATTTTATTATCTTCTGCCACATATATATATTCTAACATGAACAGAGTGAATTGAGGCCAAAAGTGATTGGTGTTGTGCCTAAAACATTGACTAAACACAGCAGAGGAGTATATATATATGCACCAGAAGAACTCTCATACAAGAGAAGTCTGATATCTGACTTTATATATATAGTATACTTTATATATATACACTTAATGTTGGTGTGTGTGTGTATATATATATATATATATATAGTCAGATATCATTCTCAGAATTCTCTTATATGTAATGTTTCTCTCCTCACTTACCACCTTGGCTGCTTTTAAGATTTTTCTCTGTATCTTTGGCTTTTAGTAGTTTAACTATAATGTGTCTACATATCCTTTTTTTGTATTCAGCTTGTTTAGAATTAGCTAAGCTTTTTGGATTCATGGTTGGTTTTTGTCATTAATTTTGGAAGATTCTGATCATTATATTAATATATTTCTTTTGCTTCATTCTCTCTATTCTCTCTGGAACTCCAATTATATGTTTGATAATGATCTAATATTATCCCATAGTTCTATGGTCTTCTTCTTTACTCGCCCTCATTCTTTGTTCTCTATGTATTTCAATTTAGACAACTTAATTGACCTATCTTTAGCTTAATTGACTCTTTCCTCTGCTTTGGTCAGTCTTCTGATAAGCCTATCAAATATATTCTTCATCTCTGATATTTCATTTTTCACTTTTCATGTTTCTATTTTGTTTTTTATATACAGTGTGTTAAATTTATATATATATTATATATATAATAATTTTCATCTCTGCTGAAATAGCCCATTTTCTCTACTAGATCCTTCAACATATTTATCTTGGCCCTTTTAAATTTTCTGTCTTATATTTTCAACATGTGAGCCATATCTGCGTCTGCTTCCGTATACTATATTTTCTCTTGATAGATTATGTTTTGTTGCTTTTTCACATGCCTTGTAATTTTAAAAAATGCATGGTGGATATTGTATATATAACAGTAGCAGCTGCAATAAATGCTACTTATCCTAAAAAAAAGCGGGGGTGTTGCTTCTTTGTGTGTTAGGCTGCTAGTGTAGAGGGTTGAGTCAATCTAATTTATCAGTGGCATGCTAGTTGATGTTGAACACCTGGATCTTTGGAAAGAAAAGAAGCCTTGGCTTGCAGCATTTGCTGATTTCTACCCTTGCCAATTTCAAACTATCAACATGATGTCACAGAACACAGAGTTGGGAGAAGCACAGTAATGTTACTAAGTAATATTTCTGATATACAAATACAATAGATGTAAATAACTTCAAGAATATAATCACAAAATATAGTAAAATCTTTAGGAAGTGATGAGTTTAAAGTATTTATTACATTTTAAAATGTAATTCACTTATTTAAGTGTATGTAATTTAATAATGGATATATTTAACACTGACTCACAAAATTGGTGAACATTTGACAATCAGCTCTTTCAAGCTAGTACAAGATGGCTCCAGCACACCACCTTTAGCTGATTGTATCAGGGCTTTGCTGTTGTTTCAGTTAGATTCAGTTCACCACTGGATTCAAATGATTTGTGGGCAGCATCAGGATTCTCCTTCCAGTAGGGTTTGGGATTTGAGTAGAGGGAATTTCTGGAGATGTCTTGTGTTTCGTAGTGCAGCTACCAGCTTTCTGAACTATGGGAGAGCTCACTTTGCTTCATGACCTGGCTGCTAGCTTGCTGGGTCACTGGGGAGCTCTCCTTGCTCTTCAACCCTGCCCCTGTCTCTCTGTGCCCCACTCTGCTGCCCTGTCTCTGCCTGTGGTAGTGCACTCAGTGAAACCCAGAGTGCCTGTGAGCAATTTCTCTCAGTCCTCTTGCTCCTACCCCCTCCCCCACCACTCCAGCCAGAAGTACTCAGGAACTGGAGGGCATTGGAGGAATTCTGTCAGTTCTCCTACTTTGCCCCCAGACTTCAGCAAACACTATACACCTGCAGCTCAGGGAGAGAGTCTCCCAGCTCTCCACTCTGTTCCCAGATTTCCATGTAAGCACCCAGTGAAGGTCCCTGGGAGAGACTGGCAGGTGGCTGCAGATTTGTGGCTGGGGCTCCCGGAGATGCTAAGCAGTCATGATAGCGCTCACTTAGCCTTTAACAACTTAAAGTGGTTCAGGTGGTTCTTCTTATCCCAATCAACGGCAGCTTCCTCCCCATTTCACCCCTCCACCAAAGATGAAAGCAGCCATGGGTATCTTCTCTTCTAGCAGGAGCTCACTATTTTCTGGAATTTGGTTCTTCTGGATTTCTTTGAAACCCCAGATTTTTAATGGCCTCCATAAAACTGCAATTTTCTAAGTTCCTGTCCTGTTCTTTTTGTTAGAATGGCAACAACACTCTTCTGTGACCTTCTACTTTCTAAGTGAAAATGAAATTTTCTTGATTAAATTCTAAGCATGAATTTCTGTTCTGTTAAAGAGTATACCAGTAGTTGGAAAATGACTTCTAAAAGCAGGCAGATGGTAGACATCGATCCTCTTGAATGCTTGGGTTCAGGAAATTAAAAGGGTTTGAGCTGAGGGTCAAGGGTACAAACAAAGATAAGTGAAATTGCAGAGTATGGCTCCATGGTATATGCAGCAGAGATTACTCACTGTCTATTCTAATATTATCCTCTTCCTTAGAAGCAGAACCCTGTATGCCTAGCTGAATGCATGGTCACCTGAATAAATTCTCTATTCCTCAACCTCCCTTGCAGAGAGGTGTTCAATGTGTTTAAGTTCTGGTCTATAAGTTGTAAGCAGAGATGTCTATGGCAGCTTCTGGGAAACCTTTGTAAAGAACCTTCTTTTTTATCTCTTACTCATTTCTGCTACTTGGTATGCAGATGAAGTGGCATGAGCGTCAGCAACCATTTTGAACCAGGCAGTGACATTGAGAGCAGGTGCCACTCTTGTGGAACAGTAAGAACAAAGGTGTCTGATCTATGGCATCATGGACGCTTATGCTATGTCCGGATTGCCCTCCTCCTGACTTCTTTCATAGGAGAGAATAGTTCATTCTCTGTTTTAGCCATAGTTTGGGGGAAGAAGAATTCCTCCGAAATGAAGTTAAACCTGTCTGACTGATTGGTAGGTAAACTAGAATTATGCAATCAGAATCTTAGAGCTAGAAGAATCTTTTAATAGCACTTAATTCTATTTTCTCCTTTTATAAAAAAGGGAAAAAAATGAGGCCCAGAGAGATTAATTATTTTCCCAAGGTTAATGACAGTTTGCTTTAAATAGTACTCAGGAAAATATCCCACATAGACCTAGAATTTATTAGTACAGCTATATAACACAGTTTTTTTATAGAAACATAAGTAGTACTAAAGATAATAAATATTTTAATATTTATCACATATACACTATATATGTCAGAGATAAGTAAAATATTGTGCCTTAAGCAAAGTAGACAGTGTCTTGGCACACTTCCAAGCCTTCATGGAGGAAAAATTAATAGTACCTACTAATTGCTTGGAAGAAGTTTCTTTGGATTAGAAATCCTCTTCCATCATCTTTTTAACAAGTATAGATTCTGAAATAGACTGGCAAAAAATTTGTCCCTTTACCCCCAAAAAAGCAAATTTTAAAAAATCTGTAAATAGATTTAAATATTAGGTCTTTCTTCTCCAGGGACAGAAATTAAATGGGTTGGAATACTCCCTCTTTGTCAGAAGGAAACTGGAATTGACCTCCAGAAACTTTATTGCAAGATCACATTCAATTTCTCTGATCTGATCTGCTCCAATCTCTAAGGGAGTGACCACAGCTTAGGGATCTGGAGCCTTCTCAATGAGGAGCTAAAAATGGGGTTGGCAGTGGTCACTATCTACATACTATTTGAGCACTGTATTTGAAAGAGAACAAGAAGTATGAAAATCTTTTAATTGGTGATTGGCTCCTGTCTCTTGATGCTCTAAAATTCCAATCTTGTTATTATTAAAAAAATTAAAATGTGATCTAGCCAAATGGAGCAGACAAACTTTATTTTGTTTTAAATACAGATCTAGGACTAGAACCTGCTTTTCTTTATTCCCATTAGAATGTTCATTCACCTCACTGAATCTGACAACACAAATAGTGAAGGCCAGTCTTGCAGTTGCATGATGAGGCGGTTCTGATGTGTAATTGCAGATGAACCTGGAAGCTCGCTCTTGTCCTGCTGTCTCCCACTAATCTCACCAAAGCTGGAAACTCCACAAGTAGAAAACTATTCCTTGGTTTAGAGTAATCACCTGGGAGAGATAGCACAGAAAGCCACATAATTATTTACACTTTGAAATGACTGTGGCTCTGGGTCCCTTCCTGAGAGAGCTATTGGTAAGGAAGCAAGAAGAGAGGATTAACTGTCAGTCCCTGGGGAAGGGCAACTGAGAACTACTGAGATTCTCAGTGGGTGGGATTCAGTAGGGCTTGGTAGGTGGGCCAGTAAAATACGCAAGAATAGTAACTGGAGTCCTTGCCCTATGCTAGTTTTGCTCTAGGTGGTCTTGTAATCAGGTCTAGGGCTGCCAGCCATGTTTACTCCATAGGATCAGGGTTGGAGCAGCTTTCTCATCCAGGCACTTGCCACAGCAGAGCTCATGCAGCTCACAACCTTTGTGTAGTTTTCTGGCCATATATGGAGGCAGCTGTAGACAGTGTCTTTGATGCCAGCTTGCTGGGGGAATTTTCCACAAAAGCACACGAGGATTTGTCCCACCCGACTGAGAATGCTGTTTTCTGGATGAATATCTATTTATGCATGAGGAAAGTTGGCATTGGTAAAGTGGTAGCTTATTTTTCTTTTTTGTTTGGTTTTATTTTTTGCTTCAGAAATAGAACAGATTTAGCGTTACTTGCTTTTGAAGGCACAGTTCTCCCTACAGCATGACCTTAAATTTTGTTGTCCCCGGGCAAGAATGGGAGAAAACATCTCTTCTAGCTTTTTTTAAAAGCAATGCAAGTGCAGAGAATACTTGAGAAAAATTTTTTGTTTAATTTCTATGTCTTTGAAAATAAATCTTTTTTCTACAAAATATAATGCTTACTGTAAAGAAATGAGAATAAATAAGAAAACATACATATAAGAAAAAAATGCAATTGGATGACAGTTAAAATGATGTAATAAAATTACATTACAGCTGGAAGGGACCTTAGAAATAATCTAACTCCATAAACTGTTTTATTTTATAAATGATGAAACTGGGTCCCGGAGAGGTTAAGCAACTTGTCACACAGTTAATAATAAGAGGAGTTAAAATCCGTCCTTTTTTTCTTGATTAGTCTTTTTCTTACTGTAGTGGTTTGCCAGAATTAATTTTTTCATTTTTAGTGATGAGACTGTTTCTTTAGGTCAAATATTACTCTGAAGCCCAACATATAAAACAGGCATGTTCCAGTTGGATGGAAGCAGGTGGGGAGGGGAAGAGCGGGCCTATTCTCTCCATCTCCCACTTCCCCAAGAATGTTTTGCAGATACCCCAATAGCACATCTCAGATTTCCTAGAGCAACATCAGATATACTGAATAATCATTGCATTATACTATTTGTCATTTATTTATTCAACCGCTATTTATTGAATGTTTGCTATGTGCCAGGCATCTTTTGAGGGTGAAAAGAAAACAGCTTTGAATAAGGCAAGATTGTTTGGGGTGGGGCTGAGTTCATGCAGCATGCTGGGTGTCTTCCAGGCTCTGTCTCCTTGTCTGTGGCAGCTTTTTGCATGCTATTCTTGTGTTTTTGGGTATATAGTACTTCACAATTTGAATAGGGACAACACAATGTAAACCATCCCAGGAACTTCCAAATCGGCAAGATTTTTTTTTTCTGACTTGATCTGAGTAATTTTTTTTGTCTGTTTTTGTTTCAAAAAGATCTATTATTTCTCGGTGTTTATGCAGAGCCTTTTATTTCTCCTTAGCTGGTAGTGGACTTGGCAGTTGCCCTGAGACTAATTTCTATTTCTACTTGTATTAGAGAGGAAGACATTGTCAATTCTAAAGGCTACCATTTCAGTACCTTATGGATAACTTCTTAAGGAAGCTAAACATACTAACTTAACAGATTTTTTAAAAAGTCTCATTCCTGGTGGACACACTTAAGAATCCTGTATCATATTCTCTAATGTGGTTTATTATAAGCTTGGACCTCATAATACCCTCTTTTTGACATTACTAGCACATTCAAATTCCAAAGGTCAGCTGAACCTTTTGCAAGTTAGCCACCTGGCTCGTCAACTCCTTTCAGTCGTGACACAACGTCAAGAGGAGTGTTGTCATATTCACTGAGGTCACTTCCTGGCTCTGCCACTCACTGCAACCTGCTTGCTATCGATCTTGGGCAAAAAGCTTTCCTGAGCTCAGTTTCTTCACCAGTATATTAATAAAATGGGTATAAAATCAGTGTCATTGTGACAATTAAAATAATCATATCACAGCGGCACAGTGCGTCCCCAGGATATGCTTAATAAATTTTGTTCACATCCTCATTTGCTTTGAATTTGAAGGACACCTGAGTGACTTAAGGATTATGTCAAATGCAGATTCAGAATGAGCAGGCCTGAGGATGAGGCCTGAGACATTTCATTTCCAACAGGCTTCCAAGTGTTAACTTGCATGTAAGGTCCTAGAAAAGGATGTTTAGTCACTGTGAAGTCTGGGCATGTGATTGAATCTCGGCTTTACCAGTTGCCAGGTGGATGATCTTCATTAAGTCACTGTGCCTTTCTGAGCCTCATTTCTCAACTGGAGTTACTTATGTTTCATAGATCAAGTGAAGACTTAAAATGAGACAACATTTAAAGAGTGCCATGAGTATAACACCAATATTATTATTGCTATTTTATATTTCAGTCATATTAGACTAAACAACACTGACACTGAGAGAGTGACCTGCAGCTATTGGGCAGAGTGCGTACATCTTTCGTATAGCACCTAGTGTAGTGCCTGGTACACAGGAGGTGACTCATAGATATCGAATTGTATTTCTCATATGAAGTTCGTATGGGTAGAGGCTGGCTGAAGACCGGGCAGAACTGCTTGGTAGAAACAAACATTCATGTCATGGTTAGAGTTTGGGTGGGTGCTCCCTTGAACTTCCTTCTATAAAGGAAAACTACCCATTGATCGACTGGGTTCAAAAAGGAGGAGTTGTGCTCATCAATTTTTTTTTTCCTTCTGGGAAGCACTGTGATTCTTATTATAACTGGTATTTTTATGATACCTTCTGGAATTAGATGCTGAGGTCCTTAGTAAGGTGGTTCTCTGATGATACGGACAGTATTCCTACTTTGTGTCAGTGGCTTAGTTGTGGCTTCCAGTGCAACTCGGAGCTAGCTTAGTTTGCAGGAAGAAGCCTAGAGTTCAGGGCACCTCGGTGGAGTTGTGCACTCCAACTTTGCCATTTACCTGCCTCCTTCTTTGTCTTTCACATACATTTTATGACTCAACCTCTTTTCCCCCATTTAATTAAAAATAATTCTGCAAGTAATATATGCCTATGCTAAAAAATAGAAAATATGGGCAAATAAAAACGAGGAAATAAGTATCCCTGAGATCTTCCACCTTAAGATAAACTTTTTTCTTCCTAATTTTTTGAAGTAAAACTTTCAAAGTGGCTGTGGTGGTGGTGGTGGGGTGTGTGTGTGTGTGTGTGTGTGTGTGTGCAGGTGGGCATATGTGCATGGGTGATGTATGGCCCATAGCTGTGATTGGATTTTATACTTTATTTTTTTTGTTGGTAGGAAAACATCATGAGAAAGATATTATTTGGTGACATGTATAATTTATATGAAATTCATATTTCAATGTTCATGAATAAAATATTATTGGAATACAAGCATGTCTATTTTGCTTTTGCGTATTATCTATAGCTGCTTCCTCAAAACAATAGTAAAATGAATTAGTTGTGACAGGTATTATATAGCCTACAAAGCCTAAAATATTTACTGTCTGATTCCTTACCAAAAATATCTGTTGACCCCTGGCATAATCAATTTCTATTTTGGTAGCCTAACTGTCTGCTTATCAATAAACATTTTTCTAGAAATATTGTCTCCAAAATCATCTTAGTCTTTCATTAAAATCAGTACTTTTCGCCAGGCATGGTGGTTCATGCCTGTAATCCCAGCACTCTGGGAGGCCGAGGTGGACAAATCACTAGGTCAGGAGCTCGAGATCAGCCTTGGCCAACATGGTGAAATCCTGTCTCTACTAAAAATACAAAAAAAAAAAAAAAAATTAGCTGGGCATAGTGGTGGGCACCTTTAATTCTAGCTACTACAGGAGGCTGAGGCAGAAGAATTGCTGGAACCCGGGAGGTGGAGGTTACAGTGAGCTCAGATTGCACCACTACACTCCAGCCCAGGTGACAGAGTGAGACTCCATCTCCAAAAAAAAAAAAGGTACTTTTTGGGTTCAGATCTATTGTCTTTATCCATTGTTAGGGTGCTTTTCCATTTGTAAAGCATTATTATTTAATTATTGGAGCCTCCAAGTGAGTTAGACATTATGTGTTCATAAATACTCTCAGCTTGCAAGTAATGGAAACCACCTTGAGTGTCTTAAATAAGAAAATGGGATTGAGAAAGACTGACTTTAAAAATAGGGGATTTGGCCTGCAACCCTGGGGTTGAGCTCAGCTGGGCTTCTGAAAGGGTGTAGCAAGCAGCCATGACTCTCTTGGTCACCTCTCAGCTCCATCCTATATGTCCTTTTTAATATCTTTGCACAGCTCATCTGTCTCTGCCTATCAGTACAAGTGCATCTGGCTGCTAACAGCTCAGCTCTCCATTTTACCAGTCCTACCACTCTGAAGGAGACTAATTATATTTCCTTTTGGGCCCAATTCTAAATTTTATTTAGGAGGGAAACATAGGTGGCCCAGCTTTGGCCAAATTTCACTCCTGGTCCATTCAACTGCAGCTATTATAGAAAATGGCTGCTGGGGGAACTATTTACAAAATGGCTCCATTATACATGCGGGGACATTAAGAGGAATACTTGTGGGTTAGGCAGAGATTTCAAAAGTTATCTATTTCATTATATTGTTTCCTATTTTACAGGGGAAGGAATTAAATACTAGCGACACCAAGTGATTCTCAAGTAGTACTTTGTCAAATATCAGTATACAGACTCCAAATTTCAGGTGTGTTTTGAGTACACCAGACTGCTGCTTATGGATTGCTGTGGACTTGGGATGTTACACCAGTAACACCACATTTGGGCTGCAGATCATGTTTTGCTCATTTCTCATCTCATTGCTTGATATATCGTTGGAAGGTGGGAATTCCCTCTGTGTCTTTTACTTTGTTTCCAGGCTGCAGCTGGAAGCTGGATGGACAGATGCAGATTTTGGAATTTTCCCCTGGTTGACTGCTGTGCTTAGAGTGCTTTGATCCATCAGTGGAGAGAAATTGAGTGAAAATGATCCACATGCCGATCTGGGCTGGCATCTCATCGCTTAGCACAGCGTTTGTCTCACATCTTGTGTGTAATGCCAGCAACTGAATCTCCAAGCTCGATTAGCAATAGTTACAGCTCAGTGAGCACAAATCCAGAAACCCCCTTGACATGATGTTGCATCAGAGAGAACAGTAGCCTAAAAACCTGCTTCTGAGACAACCAAGGAGGATGCCTCAGGTACCGTGACTCTGATTCTGGGGCAGTTGTTGAATAAAATATGCCATGACTTTATGGATTTTTTTCTCTCTGAGTTGTATGAGTAAAATGAGCCATGCGATGTTATAAAATGTAGCTCTGAAAGAGACCTGGAAATTTGAGGCTTGCTGGAAAGAGTCCTTTATGCAGGCACTCAGGTGTGGAGGACAGGTGCAGGGGAAATTTATTGTGTGATGCTCCAGTACCCACTCCTTTCTTTTCCCCTTCTCCCTCTAAATATACCTTGAACATCTCTCTTTTCTATATGATTTTGATGTGGAGTTGATCTGTCACAAAGTTCAAGGATGAGACTGTAATTGACCTAAGCCAATTTATATCTTCTTTCCCTAGCTGCAGTTATTAGTTTGGGTTTAGTCAAATGTCCCATTTCAGGACAATAAAAGGGATCCTAAGACCTGGTTATGTGCTATTGGAACTGACGTTTTCTTTTTCCTGAATCCTTTAGGGTTAGCATGTGTGGCTTGAAACTGAGGCAGCTATTTTGTTGTCATAAGAGTAAAGCTGAAGCTATTGTGTGTATTTGGGGGCGTGTCTACCACATGGAATCTGATGATGGAGTGATCCCTATGGAAAGTAGAGCTAAGAGACAGAAGGAAGATGAGACATCAAGGGTCTTCAGCAGTTTAGACATTGATGTCTAATGTTTTAATTTATAGCTTGATTTATACGTTTAACGTTTAAACTGCTGAATCAACAGAGTTCATTTAAAGCCCACTTTGACTCTGAATCAATTGCTTAAGCCATTTCAGCTGAGTTTTAAAAAATTTACATAAAAATTCCTGTCTGATACAATTAATATTAACTAACTGTCTGCTCTGAATAGATGATGTTTGCTTGTTTTCTTCCAAAGGCTTGATATACATGACACTTGATGGCCAAGGGGTGCAGCACAGACCAGTAAAGGAATGGTGAATCTAGTTTCCAACTTGGACCCTGCTTTCTGTTTGCATGTCTAGTGTACATTTGTTAGGGTTGAGAGTTGAGAGATTGCTTTATTTGATGGTATTTTCTGTCTTTTGATAGAAAGGGAAATAATTATATATCAATCTGCTAAATAACTTTCTTTCCTCTTTAACATCTACCTGTCATTTTTTTCCTAGTGATTGTGGAACTCAAGCCCACAGAGAAGTGGTATTTTCTCTGCCTTTTGGCTGCTTGAGTTTTATTAGGAGTGCCCTGGTAGATAGGGAATTTTGATTAGTTGGTATCATTTAGGATAATTCCTTTCCCTATGTGCTCCTTGGCCTACAAGCAGCCAAATTTTTGTGACCTAATTTTGGCCAATTGATATGAAACATGAATTGGGAGTCTGCTATGCATGGGGATGCTTTAGGCAGAAGTTTCTTAACTACTTAAAGAACAGGGGAAAGTGTCATTGAATTGCTTTACCTCTTGCCTTCTTATGTGAGATTTTAAGCTAGTTGTCAGAGTTTTTTTTCTTTCTTTCTTAATTTATGTCAAAGAAAGCATCCTGATACATTTTGCCAGTACCACATGAAGTAGGAAATTGTTGATTCCCCCAAGGAGGGATCAAGAGCCTAAATAAGAAAAGAGAAACACAGAAAAGAAAAACCCATCTAAAGCCATCTATTACAGTTACTTTACTTTTATCTTGATGTCCTATTTCTCTGTGCATGATTCTACCTTCAGACACAGAGAAGACAAGGAATGGTCTGTGTGATTACTAGATTTGACTGTTTTATGCAAAGTAGTGGTGCTCGAACACCATACTCAGATGATTATAAATTTGCTAGCTTACTCTCATACACACTTATAAAAATATCCTTTTTATAAGTATTGATAGGGGTGGCATTAAAATTACTTAAGCATTTCAGTAACATAAGTTAATGTATAAATCAAGCTATAAATAATAACATTAAATGTATATTTAAAAATACTCTAATCTAAATTATAAAACTGCTTACCAAGTGATAGAAGTTGAAATGCACAAAATTCATTAAAAAGCTAATGATTTACACATCATTTATTGATTTTTAGAAATTGTTGCTGTGATCTGTTGATGGCATCGCTGTCACATGCTAAGTGACACCTTGTGGTTTGACACAGGGAATTACATTGAACTCATCCACCAACCTCTTTGCTCATTTGTTGGTTGATCGTCATTAGGAGACTTGCATTCTCAAAAAATAGAGAATTTCTTTTACAATCAATACTATTGTTCATGGTCCTGAGACCTCTCTCAGCTTCTGCTGAACTAAGAAATTACATTAAACTATTCTAGATTTTATAATGTTGCCTAAAATTTTTATATGGTCAAATTCTCTCTTATCAACTATGCCATAAAAATCATTTACTGGAATATCATTTTTAATTAAGTTGAAAGTATACTTCAGGCCAAATGAGAGGCAGTACAGTCCGTGTGAAGGTTAAGCCTGCTTCTTCTGTTGCCAAGGTGCCTGGGTTTGGATTCAGACTCTGTCACCTACCTTTTAAATAACCTCTTTGTTCCTCAGTTTCTTCATCTGTGAAATTGGGGAGAATAATGGTAATTATAGGACTCTAAAAAAGTGCTCTTCTCTCTTGGAATTACCATCCATGGAGTTGAAATCCTCAGTCACTGGCCTGAGCCTGCAGTGATGCCTAATATCTCCTGACTTGACCATCTGCTGTCCTCATCTTTCTCTGGTCCTTCTAGAGTCTGGCTCCCAGTGGCTGTAATTTCCACAAGTGGTCACCCAGAGATAATTCTGTGGCATGCTCGCCTGAGATGGGCAGTCATAGCCTTCACTGTCCATATGGCCATGGAGGGGCTTGCTTACCTGGGTGTTAGCTGCACTGCCGAAGGTATTCCCCATGCTGCTTTTGTCAGATTAGGACACATTCTGGCAGGTGGAGCAGATATTGGTGTTTATGAGCTACAGTGAATTGGTTGTTCTCATGTAGTCTGGTAGTGTTCATCCAGGGATCCCCAGGGCCGAGAGAAACATATGGATGGAGTGTGGCTGGTCCCTGGGGATCCCTAGGAGAACCTTTGGTGGCAGCAAGGACAAACACTTTTGGGTCCTTTGACTGTCTTGGGCATCTACCAATAAACAACACCAGCTGTGGGTCCTAGAGGTCCCAGATGTGCCAGTGATTAACCCTTTTGTTGCTAGTCTATGGAGAGATTCTGGTGATATTGGCAGTGGCTATTTATGAAAACTACATGTAATATTTAATATTTTAATAAATGCTTCTACAAAATGCTGGCAAAAACCAGCATCATGTCAATCTTCCATGCTGGGAGTGGGGGCAAGGGGTTATAGGAAAATAAGCTAGTAGTTTTTTGAGTACATGGGTTTGGGTAAACTGAGATTCATGTATATCACCTAAGTTGCCCAAGATCACGCAGTTCATATGTGGAGGATTGGGGTTTGTGGGTCCTGAAATCATTACAGGTTGATGTCTAGAGGAGATGGAAAGTTGGGGATGCTGTTGATGACCAGAAAAACCTCTGGGTTCTGATGACTCTTTGAGAATATAATCTAAATATCTGTTAGGCTTGCAGAGGTTACATCACTTTACTCCAAACGTTTTTCCCACCTATGAAGAGGGAATTAAGTGACCACAGATAGATATGTGACTGGGCGTGTCCCTGTCTGTGGTTGTTCTAAAAGGAAAACGGTTTTTCATTTGGGAAATTTCAAGAGGTTGCAGAACTTATATTCAGCTTCCTGAGCTTGGTGTTACATCCCCAGGAAGTTAGTGACAACTTTGACACTAGGAAACCAGGAGAGGGGACAAACACCAAACACCAGGGTCTGTTTTTGGAATCCCTAAGAACACAAAGAATTGATGATGATGTTTTCTTTCCAGAAAGGAAATTTGTGAGGCAGCTGTGTTATTAAGGGTAGGGTATGTGGGTTGCTGGAGTGCTGGAGAGTCTGGGGCCATGCTTAGTTTAAATGACAGCTTTTGACATTTCTTCTCATTGAATTTGGAAATCTTAAAGCAAAATCATATAGTTCTAAAATCAGTTTATTTAAAAAATACCTTAGTGTCACACAAACTGAAATGGGAACCAGACTGTGGTCCAAGGGCTTTTCTATTTCATTAACGTCAATGAGCAGGGAAGAGATGCAAATCATGGGTCAGTGGAAAGCTCTGGCCGTTGGAGTCAGCCCAGGTATGACCCTCAGACTTGTCATTTACCTGGCAAATGGATGAATCTGCAGTTCTCCTACCCTCAGTTTGCTCATTTGTAAATTGGGGTGTGTGTGTGCATGTGTGTGATGTGTGTGTGTGTACAGAAGTGTAATAATAATACTAATATCCAACTTGCAAATGTTAAGTATTACATACTGATCCCAGTTTTCCCAAATCCTAGCATTCCAAAATGTAAACGTTGCAGCAAGGTTCCTCTTTCTCAAATAATTCATATAACTTTGCCCTGCTCCATCTCTGGGTCCCACCACAGATGTTTCCCCAAGAAGCATTCCCAGTCTTCCAAAAGGAACTAGGTATCCTGTTACTGTCTTTCTTAGAACTCCATTCTTCACACATTCCACTGGCATGGGCTGAATGTTTGTGTTTCTTCCAAGATTCTTATGTTGAATTCCTAAACCCCAAGGTGATGATGATATAAAGAAGTGGGACCTTTGGGAGGTGATTAGATCATTAGAGTGAAGCCCC